TGTTGACTTTCCCTCTCTCACTGCTTCTCTATTTTGGCTTTACTTTTATGATTCTCGCCTTTGTAACTCTGCTCCTTGAACCCTTTATTGTCCTGCTTTTGAACTGTGACTCTGCCCACATGACTTCTACCAAGCCCATGTCCTAACACACACCAAGAAAACTCATGCAGGCAAATACATGCCTCACATTTCAAGCTACACATTTCCTGCAGCCATAATTAATTTATGCAAATAAGATCAACAAATAAACCATCTCCTCCTGCTGGGCAACATGATATAAGATGCCAAAGACTGAAATTTGGGAGCTCATTTAATTAGAACGGATGTGATGACTGAGAGAGAGGGGGGAAACCCACATGTTGCTGCACTACAGTCACAATGTAAAATGTGTGTCTAATTTCATTTCCCTCATGGGCCTGCATCACAGAAGCAACGACAGTTCTTGGAACATCTCCCCATGATTTCTTGACATGTTGAAAATAAGTAACTGTGTGTTAAATGTAAAAGGCCTGATTGAACCTGTGCAACAGCAACTGTCTCTGGAAATAAAACTATCACAGTCACTCTTCAAATTATTTTTGTTTTAGTTTCTGAAAGAATTTTAGTTTATTTAAATCGCCTCATTACGGTGATATCTCTCTGAAGCTTTAAAAACTATGCAATATGAGGTGTTGTTTAAGGGAGGGAAGAAAAAAATATCCTCTGTGAATTGTGTTTAAAAAGAGGTGAAAGGGAGGAAAAAGTGATGCATGGGGAATAATAAGTGTCTGCTTTGAGAACTCGTGGTTTTATCATATGAATCAAATCGTCTCCCTGGTTTCATATTTATCGTATCATCTACCACGCATTGTGAGATGTGTCATATCGCCTCCCATGTATTGTGAAATGTATCGTATCGTCTACCACGCATTGTGATATGTATCGTCTACCACGCATTGTGATATGTATTGTCTACCACGCATTGTGATATGTATTGTCTACCACGCATTGTGATATGTATCGTCTACCACGCATTGTGATATGTATCGTCTACCACGCATTGTGATATGTATTGTCTACCACGCATTGTGAGATATGTCATATCGTCTTGGCTCAAGACTCACCTTTTTAGTATAGCTTTGAAGTGATTATGATCAATTTTAGCCAGTTTTTACCTTTTTATTTATTTATGTATTTTAACATATATTTTATCAGTGTTTTATTACTTAGTACTCTTAATTAAATAACACATATTTTCTTATATATTTATTTTAACTTGTAATAATTATTAGTTTTAACCAGTCTTAATACTTTGTGGTACAAAATTTTATAAATGTAATTATATGTTTCTACTTGGTCATCTTTTATCACTGTGTTTTATTTAGATTTTTATTTATCAGCTGTTTATGTTTAATTTGTTTCTTAACTGTTATCTTAGTCTCATTAGTAAACTAGTGTTTCCTCTGAGGGGGCCGGCTGCCCCGGGGGCAGCGGTGGACTGTGGTGGCCGGGGTGCTTCCCATGTTTACTCTTACCAAGGCTATTGCTGCCAGTCTTGGTGCTCCCGGTGCCGTTGGCTCCTTTGATGGCGTTTTCGTCTTCTTTATATACATTACATCTGCACTCAGCCAGCTGCCCTTTCTTTATTATGTGCGTGTGTGTGTGTGTGTGTGTGTGTGTGTGTGTGTGTGCGTGTGTGTGTGTGTGTGTGTGTGAGGGGTGGGAAACCGACTGCTGTCTGGTTGTTTTTAATATTGAAAAGCGCTTTGAGCTGCATTTGCATGAAAAGCGCTTCATAAATAAATTTTTATTTTTTTTTATTTTGATCGTCTACCAAATATTGTGATATGGATTGTATTGTCTGCCATGTATTGTGAAACGTATCGTATCATCTACCAAATATTGTGATATGTATTGTATTGTCTGCCATGTATTGTGAAACGTATCGTATCATCTACCACGTTTTGTGAAATTTATCGTATCGTCTACCTCATATTGTGATGCGTATCGTATTGTCTACCATGTATTGTGAAACGTATCATCACGTCTACCATTTATTTTGATTTACATCATATCGTCTACAGCAGGGGTGGCAAACATCCGGCCCGCAAGCGGGTTAAATCCGGCCCGCGAGATGGTTGTGTAAACTTTATTTTCATACTTTACAATGTAGAGTGAAAATAAACTTATCTTTGTGAGTAAGTTTCCTCTGTAATGAGTTTAAATAAAACAAAGCTGCGCTCAAGGCTCACACAAGAACTTGAATCACATCCTGAAGTTGGCCGCCACTCAGGATGTGATTCCTGATGTTGATGTGCCGGTGAAAGCTAAAAGATGTAAAGTAAAATGAGTCAAATATACTTTAAGTGCTGCATGAAACTGATCTAGCCATGTGATCTGTAAGCTCTGAATCACTAAGGAATGTTTTTATTTATTTATTGATTTTTTACTTTTTTTCACATTTTCAAGTACACTTCAGGTGTTGTACTTGTACTACACTGTCCTCAGGCTCCAGCCTTGTTTTATATTGATTGTATTAAAACAAAGAAAACAATCTGAAGTTGTTTTTAATTTACTGGTCCGGCCCACTTGGGACTAGATTTCTCGCAATGTGGCCCGTGAGCTAAAATGAGTTTGACACCTCTGGTCTACAGTGTGTTTTGATATATATCGTATTGTCTACCTCGTAATGTGATACGTATCGTCTACCGTGTATTGTGATATGTATCGTATCGTCTCGCGGGTTTCATGATATTTATCATATTGTCTCGTATGTGTTGTAACAAGCCGTACCACACCACTTTATTTATAGAGAGCTTTTAACATGGCATTACAACCGACTAAAGTGCTGCACATAATAAAACAACAGAGGCTGACATAGTCACATATGTCAAAAACAATTAAAAAGAACAAGGAAGTAAAACCAACAAAACAAGCAGAAACCACAATAAACTATTCCACAGATTTGAATGCAAGGAGCAGAATTTAAAAATTGATAGTGAACTTAATGGGCAGCCAATGGACGGCTTTAAGAATGGGTGTAATGTGTTGTCTTCTGTCAGCTCCAGTCAGGAACCCTGCTGCTGAATTCTGGATAAGCTGAGGAGTGGACAGAGCAACTTTATTAACTCATTCGCTGCCAGCGTTTCTCACCGTTTTTACTGGTTTTTAAGAGTGACAGAACGATGCGCGCTAGGATGATGTCGACGCCAAAACAACCAAAACAAAGAGGAAACTCACCTCTTACATCAGGACGTATCTGTGCGTTTCGAGCGTTATCCGTTCTTTCATAATCTGTTGTTGAATTGTGATCGGCAGAAGCTTTTCCGGTGTCGGTACAGGATCTGCTCGGGTGCAAGATCGGCTCGGGGTCCTTCGACTGCCAATGACGTCGAAGTACGGCAAACCCACTCGGACAAAATACACTACACATCTATACTGTTGGAAAGAATTTAGCAGTTTCGTTGTAAAATAATGTTTCTTAAGACGTAAGTTTGTGTTTATAATGGTGTTTGTAAAATAAAACACTATTTTATTCATAATGTTGAACTCCTCTTTGAGCACATCCCTTGAAGGATCATAGGTATTAGCAACACCTGTGAAATTGTATTTGCAGGAAAGAAGTGTGTCCCGTTTATTGAAGTATTTTGTGTTTAGAGTTTTTGACGTCTTGTCCATGCGTAGTTCAGGTACGCTCATAGCTGCTAGCCAAAACTCTGGAGTTAAACGTTTTCTGGCTTTACTAAAATACCTGTCTGTACTTATTTGATTGATGGTAGTTTTACTTTCTATTAGACTCCAAATTTAATCATTTGACACGTTTCTAATTCATAATTTGTAAGAATTTAATCGGTGATATTAGCATTAGCATCCCTATGGGTTTTTCCATGTATATTAGCATTGCGCTAACCACTCGCTGCCAAATTGCAGCCTTTGCTATTAGAAAAT